ACCAGAAGTGCCATGGGAGTGCAGTCATCCAAGCCCTTTGGAGCTCACTGTTTGTCACAGATTGCCTTAGATGCTGCACATGGGGCTACTGGACTTTAAAAGTTTGCTCTGCTGGATTTTGGACATGCTTGTCCTTTGCATTCCTATGTTTGTAACTTTTGGAATGAAAATGTTTATCTTGTGCCATTAAATGTTTAACTTCTCATTTGTACAAGGGTGTGCAGCTAAGAATTTGTTTTCGGACTTGGGACTTTTCAGCAGTGCTGAATCTGTTAGGACTTTGGCATCTCTTACAAGTGGACTCTTACAGGTGCCTTTTGCTAAAAGGGATGTGCATGATTAGTGTTTGGGAGTCCCAAGAGTGGAATGTTATGATTTTAATATAATATAATGTTGATAGACTTAATACTGGTTTTTAAGGATTGTTAAACCTATTCTCTAGTGTTCTAGTTGTGAAATGATAAGAATAAGCAGGTTTCTGTATCTGGAGACCAATTTAAAGAAATGTGTTTGCTTGCCAAGTTGACAAGGGGTGGATTGTAATAGCTGATGCATTGTGTCAACTTGAGAAGTTTAAAAGCTTAACTAAGTAATGTAGTAATTCTACATCCAAGGGTGTAGAGGACATATTCTTCCCACTCAAGGATGTTGTTCATTGTGAACTTGAGAAGTTCAAAGGTTTAACTGAGTAACTCAGCAGGGGGCCAGGCCCTTACTTCATAAACATCTTGAGCCTGTGCAGGGGGAGGACATGGACATGGTGCGAGTGCTACACCAGCCTAAGGGTGGGTAGCCTGCATACAATGTAAGTAAGGAAAAGAAGCTTGTATCCCCCTTTTTGCTCTTGTTTCTTTTGCTGTCTTTGCTGAGTAAGTAGGGAAAGTCACAGGTTTTTTGTATAGTAGGGCATGAACTAGCACTTAGGCTATGCTGTGCCATGCCAGTGAAATGCAGTCCTGCTTTGCTCTCTATGGGTGTTCATTGGAGAAGTTGGGAGACCTGAGTGGAGCATTTAACTTAATCCTTCTTTGTTAAGAGAGATGACTAAAACACTACATTGGCATGGTGTGGGATACTGCTATGAAAGCACTTGTCACCTAGTAGAGGAAGGACCATCTCCTCCCAATCTGTAAAATCTTGCTTACTTTGCAAAGCTGCTGTGAACACTTGTACTTGAAACAGAGCTTGGCTCAGAACAAGTGCTCCCAAATGAGCTATTGGCTTAGTTACTTTTCTCATTGCTGAGACAAAATACACAACAACCAGAAGTTAAGGGAGGAAAGATTTATTTAGTTTACAGTTTGTAGAAGTTTCACTTCATAATTGGCTGGCTCCAAGGAAGGGTGGTGCGTGGCAGAGGGGCAACTGTTCATGGCAGGGAGAGACAGCAAAACCAAGTATTGAACCTTATCAGCATCTTTGTGCCCCTTTTATAGTCTGTTCAGTCTATTGAGAGTTTAGGGAGCACCAGTTCAGTCAATGGATTGATATAGCAAGCACCTACCTTTAGTCCCAGAACCCTTAATTTCTGCATTGCACCACCAACCAGGCATATACAGTCACCTCCGTAAAAACTCTATGACCACATAAGACTTTGGGGAGGACATCTTGACCCAAACCATCAGCTGAGTTTGGTTAAGATAATATGTTCAAAGTTATCTTTAGTTTCTAGAAACTCACCAATAAGAAGAAATGCCTGTCAAAAGGTTAAATAATCATCAACTTGTGACTATGCACATATTAGAAGTTGGAAGGTCAGGACTTTCAGCTTCAGCATAAATGATGGACCTGAATCTGGGTTCTTCCACTTGGGCATAGAACCTGCCACCGTCAGTTTGTACAACTTTAGAGTGGAGACATGCGTCTACACCTTACTGGGAAAGTTGGAGAAATGGAGAGAAACACAGCCTTGGCACACGTGTGCTTTCCTTTCCATGGAATGGAATGTCTACCATTGTGTGGGGTGATCATAACCAGGAAGGGATGTGCATATGTGCATGTGTGCATGTGCACACATTCACGCCCATACATGCTTACATGAAGTTGTTTACTCTATCAAGCTCCCCCTTCTAAATCACTCCAGCTTTCACAAATTTATTTCCGTATAAACTGTGACATGTCATTTTATGCATATTGTCTTGACTTAAAACCATCCATTGTGTAATTACTTTATCTTTCAGAATTTTTTTTTTTTAATTGGTACCAGGGATCTCATAACTGTGTGCTTGCAAGGCAGGCACTTATGCCGCTCAGCTAAATCCCCAGCTTCCATATCTTTCAGAATTTTGAGCATTTTAAAGAAAAAGCATTGCTTTGTACTTATTGGGGACGATGCTCTCCTCAGTGTGGAGGGTATCAAAGGGACTCAGAAGGCCCTATTATGTTGGTGGAGGAGCTGTCATGGTAGTCTGGAGTGTGCATGCTCTGCTGATGTGTTCTGCACTGCTGTACTGCAGCATTTTCCTCTCCCAGGCACTGTTACTGACTTAGCACCTTATGGTGTGGTGCTTGCTTTGGATCTCCAGGGGAAGCTGATGTTCTCTTGTCTTCATTTTTTTCTAGTGCAAGAAACTAGAAATCATCCCGGGCACTGTATTGTTATTAGCAGAATTTTTGGTTAAATGTTTTGGTCATTCTTGTCTATTGAGTAATCATTTTGAGATAAATTCATTGTAATCTTTAGCCATTTTTAACTTTAATAAAACAAAACCAAATATCTGTTCAGTTTTATAGATCAGGAGCTCCTTGGTAATGCTGGCATGAAATACATGCTTCTGCAGAGTAGAAAAAAATATTGACTTTTGCAGTTATAGAGTCTGAAAGCCAGTAAACATTATTTACACTATCAATCTGGAAGTTTTAAAAATACATTATTTTCTGCTATGCTTTGTGTAGCTAACTTTTATATTTTGCTTCTCACATTTTGCTTCAAAATTTTCTAAATTGATTTTTTTCCCTCTGAGTGTTGCTTAAAATTCATGTTGTTATAATGATACTTAGAAAGTGTTCATCCATTGCATACTCATTATGCTTTCTCAGCAGTCACTCTGATGGTCCTGGGAAGTAGTGGTGAATGACACAGACTTGGTCTTTGCTGTTGACAATGCAGTGGAAAATAGGTTAAACAAAAACCTTCCAAAGAAGTCATGGCTGGGAGTGTTATTATAGTCGGCAGACATGACTAAATTTTACTAGCACTGAAACTGAGCATTTTAAAAAACCTTTAAAGACATATTGACTTGTGAAAATAGGTCAAGAGGAAATGTGTTTCCCCCTGTGATTATTTACTTTTGCAAGATATACAGAAATTTATTTCTGTGAAGTTTTGAATGTGGCACCAAACTCAGAGATCTTTGACTTTTCTGTCCAGCCATCTGACATCTTCCACAGTTAACCCGTTAGAACACAGCGTGAGCATTTCCACGCAGCAGGCCAAGAGGAAGGACAAAGCATCTTTCTGTAGAATGTAAGACCACCAAGTAAAGACAAAGTGGTTTTCCTTTTCTGTTTTCTTTAGAAAATGGACATCTTTACATCAACCTAGGTGGAATTTTGGATGTCTTTGTCGTGTGCTAGATATATATTTGGTGGGGCTGGAGATTTAGCTCAGCGGCATAAGTGCCTGCCTTGCAAGCAGGCACTCATGAGTTCGATCCCCGGTACCGATAAAAAAGGAAAAAAAGACAAAAAAAAAAAATTACATATTTGGTGATTGGGTTACAACAGTGAGAATGTTACCTCCTCAAAGCAAAAAAAAAAAAAAAAAAAAAAAGGAATGAGCAAATAACATCAAGTCCCATTTTTTTCTCTACAACTTGATGATGTATCTCACATCTGGTGTGAAATGCCTTCTCCTTTTAAAAGAGATAGAGTATTGACTGTTAAGTTAAAGGTTACATAAACAACTGAAAAAACTTAATACATTTGGTAATGTTAAAAAACCATAAATGCTTTGTGACATTTGCTTTCTAATTGATAATACCTACAGAGATCAGATTGATAAACCATAGAAAGACCATAGCAACGTGGAATCTGTTCTCTTTCTTGAGAGAATTTGTTAAAATCTGAGGAGGACAGTGATTTCAAGGAATGCTGCTGTCAGGGTGTAAGGGGGTTGATGATCAGGTCAGTCTTTTTCTGGAACCTCAAAATTCTTTTCAAAAGGAGTGATAACTTGAAATTATATTGTGTGTAAGCAGGGTTAAGATTCAGCTGTGGTGATTAATGTCCACCAGCTGTCTGGAAAATCTACTTGCTTGTTTAAATGATAGCTGCTGTTTTTACTGTTTTTTAAAATTTTTATGTGTTTGACAAATGGCTTACCTTGTTTGGGTAAAATTTAGATCAGTCTAATTCTCATTTGATAAATGTAAACTGAGGATTACAGTCTGTACTATGTGAATATAAATATATAATGTGCATGTGGGGACATGTGGAGGGTGGGGAAGATAATTTTATTTCTAGCTGTTGTATTTTGAAAAATTAAAAACTCAGTATTCTGACATCTTCAAAATCACCAAAGAACCCAAGCAATATAGGTTTCTATGTTAAATTCTAAATATTCTTAAGTAATTTTTTTTCAAGAGTATAGTGAATTACAAGAAAGAGAGTTAAAATCCCTACCCAGAAAGCAAGAGAACGATTTTTAACCTCAGTTACAGTCAGAGCTGATAATTGAAAGTTCAACATGAGAAATGACTGTAGAGTAGCTTTTTTTTTTTTTTTTTTTGGTGCCAGGAGTTGAACTCATGACCTTATGCTTGCCAGGCAGGCACTTATGCTGCTGAGCTCTGAAGTAATGAGGAGAAATTCTTTCAAGTGGCATCATGTCCTGGAAGTGCTCTGTTCTTTCCAGAAATCTAGGTAGCAAAGAAAGATATTTTCCAGTGTGTGCAATAAGGTGAATCACCCATACAAGAATCCCTGTATTTGTAACTTATAGTGGCTTTAGTGGGAGTATGAGTACTGCATGAATCAGTTGCTCTTTGGCTGAATTACAGATATTATCAAGTTTCCTGTGGACATGGGAATTATCCAGAATGGCTCCTTCCTTAGAACACATGCTCATCTATTTGGGACGTTGGAAGGCACTGCAGGTTTGACTACATCACCATGCTCTGTTCTGTGATTGGCTTTTCACTGCTCACGTGTCTAGTTCTGCCACCTGGCAGAGTCCCAGCCTGGTCATTGCACGACCCCATAGCTATCCGTTGATCCCTTCTTCCTGAGTACTTAGGGCAGCTCTGCACTTCCAAGGGTTGTATGGGTTCTTTTGTTTTTGCATCCCTGTACCTGCTCTTCACTTTCCCTGGAATACAATGTTGCCTGTTAATCTCTTTTATTTCTAGGCATAGCTAAAACATTTCTGTAAGGAATTCTAAGCCAACATTTCATAAAATTTGGTTTAGGTTGGATCTCAAAAGGCAGACAAAACTTACATTTATAGCATGCTCTGAAAGTAATTCTGATTTTCTTATCAGGGCAGTAAACCCTGTGTTGTCCAAGAACCACTTCAGGAGCTTAATAGGTGTGCTGTGGAAATGAATGGATTCTATGTTTCCCAAATGAGGGATGATCTAGCTCCTTTTGGATGATTCACTAGGCATGTGAGCATATGAAGGCTTCTGAGAATTAGTGTAGCAAATGCTTTAACTTTCAGTGTTTCTTAAACTTACTCATCCAAGAAACAGTTTTGTTTGAGAATATTCATTTGTATCTTGGGAAATATTTGGTGTTTCACAGAATGCAGTTCGGGAAAATATTGTTGTAAGACATGGTTTTAGTTAATAAGAGGAAATGTCTTAGGAAGGAATGACATAGTGGCCATGGAGACAGCAGACCCAGACATTGTTCATCTCTTTGAATGGATTCCACAACTTGGCTTCAGTATTTAAGTCTTCACTTCATTATCAGCAGATGCTCCTTAAAGCCACAGCTGGCCTGATCATCATATAGTGCAGTCATAAGAAACGGTACACTTTCACACATAGTCTTTCAATATTTGAATTATAAATTAAAAAAAAATACAAAACTTTTCTCTACCAATACCCGTGGCGAGGATATGGGAATTAACTGTAGCAGGTTGTGAGAAAACTAATAATTTCACAGCTTTATTTAGTGTATTTTTGAATAAAAATCCAAGTAGGCTTGGGATCCTTAGTCCAACTCATTCATTAGACAGAGAAAAGTTGATCCCATATAGGCTTGGGATCCTTAGTCCAACTCATTCATTAGATGGAGAAAAGAATTGTAGCCCTGGTTGACTTCAGGATGTGCTCAACGTCACACGCAGGGCTAGCACTATAATCTTGGTTTCCTTATTTGTGGGGCAGCCTTTGCACTGTTTCATATATTCTTCTATGTAAGGCTTGCCCTTATGGGAGGGGATATTATAAGCTGGTGGTATAGTAAATTCCTGAGGGAAGATACAAAGAACAGACATTATTTATGTGAGTGATCCCTTCGTGCAGCCCATTGGCAGCTGGATGTTTTAATCTTCTGTGTTGGACTCTGGACTGCACCAAAATGGCCTCATGGCCATCATTTTCACTCAGATGGTGCTCCCTGGGCTGCTAAACTCGGCGGGACATTTCATCCTTGTGCAGATTGCCGGCACACCTGTGTCCAGAGCTTGGGATTTCTAGCATATTGAATTTGTGATGGCATAATCTTAGAGGGGATAGGCTCCTTTTGACTCATTCTAGGGAGTGGGAGAGATTTGTCCATCGAGCTGCTGTCTATCTTCTGCCCTCTGCAGCCTCCACTGTAGGTTCCATGGATTACTCATAGCTTGGAATGAAGTTATCAGAAGTAATTTTAATGATATGCTCAACATTTTTATGTAGGACAGGCTTGGGAGGGAGATCTATGGTGTGGGTTGAAGATGACTTGTCTTGAAGTTTGATTTGGCCAGCAAGCCTGTGTTTTCTTATCTTGTATTTGTTTGGATTGGCGGAAGAGGGACGGCTGTTGGCAGTGTGGGAAGAGGTGTATAATACAGTGGTTTTTAATGTGTCAAAGTTGTGCAACCTTAATCAACATCAATTTTAGAACATTTTCATCAGCTTAAAAGAAACCTTCCACTCTTTAGCCATAATCTTCCATTGCTGCCCCTCACCTTAATGACTAATACTCTTTCTTTGCTTTGTTTTCAAAAATTTGTAACCAGTGTGGTGGCACATACCGTATAATCCCAGCACTCTAGAAGACTTGAGGCAGGAGGATTTCAAATCCAAGCACAGCTCGGACTATGTAGTGAGGCCCTGTTAAAGAAAAAAATAAAGAGGACTGGAGAAGTAGCTGAGTGGTGAGCATTGCGGAGTTCAAAACCAAGGTTGGGGTTTGTGACGTAGCCCAGGCTGTCTTTAGATTCATGATCCTCCTGCCTCATCCTTGCAAGTGCAAGTAGGCAGTATCATGCCTGGCTGTGGTATACTTTATGTTTTTGTGGATTTGCCTAGTCTGGACATTTTAAAAAGGATGGAATTGTATAACTTTGTCCTCTGTGTCTGACTTCTTTCACTTAATACAGTGTTTGCAGGTTCATCCCCATTGTACTATGCATCATTACTTTGTTCCTTTTTATACCTGAATAGTTTTTCATTGTGTAAATGTACGACATCTAATTCATTCACCACTTGAATGACATTGGGATGTTTCCAGCTTTTGGTTATAAACATCATGAATGAGTATGTTTTACTATGACATGGATGTCATATGGAGGAGTAGGCCAGTGGGGAAATTGTTCTGCAATGTTAGAATTACTTTAGTTGACCACCGTTTAAATGCTGGTTGACCTTTTATAACACAAAATACTGTGTTTACTTATCAGGAAGAGATAAAAAAGTTAAGAAGACTGGTTTTAGTTCATCCACAAGTTTTCACCCAATTGTATCTTATGGAATAATTAAATTTTTTTCTTCAAAGACTAAGATAGAGGCTTTTGTATTTTATCAGTTCACTGTGACCATCCATTCCTCCCCTAAGAAAACCTGGGCCCCTGTGTAGTGTTTCCTCAGGGGTGTGGAGGGGCAAGAAGTGGCAGAGATAAAGGTGTAGACATACTACAGAGTTCTAGGGGCCACTGCAGAGTTACCAAAGCCGGGGAGGAAGAGGAAAAGATGCCTCATCCAGAACAGTCAGGGAAAGCATCACTTATAGGCATGCTCACCTTCCAACCCACATTTCTAGAAACTGTATTAGAATCTTCTGATTTCTTGTACAATGTAAAATAGTTAAGTTGTTTAATTTTTTCATCAAGTCAGTATTGACATTTGAGTTTTCTTTTCTCTTTTTTTTTTTTTTTGTTAGGGAAACAAACCATATTTATCAGAAGAAGCAGTCAGTTGCACTAAGTTCAAAATGAAATTTCTATGAATTTTGGTCACTGGTACATTCTTTTGAGCTATTTTATATTGATGTTTTAACTAATTTTTTGGTCTTTTTATCTACCTACTAACTCAAAAAACATGTTAATGGAGAGCAGTAAGTAAAGCATTATATGGAAGAAATGAAATTTTTATATATTTTACTAGAGTTAAAATTTTATTCTAATGTTGCAATGAGTAAGCATGTTTGTGTAACTTGTGCCAGTATAGTTTCATTACATAAATGACATTTGAAATCCTACACGAGTGTTTAAAGAATACTGCTGACCCAAGTTAATTGTTATTTTATTTACAGATGTGTAAATTGCTTACATCAGTATATTGAAGACCATAGAATTTGGAGGAAACAAAATTAATTAAGTCCAGAGACACAGGAGATGTGCTTGAATAAGATTTTGTCTAAAAGAAGTTTAGTATGACACTTATTCCTACACACATCATCACACTGAAAAGTCTGTACATGAATAACGACAGATACATTTTTTAAAGAATAAGTAACAAAACTACAAATATCATGACTTACTTACTGTGTTACCATATCTTTACTTTGCTTTTGTGGTTAATTATGCTATTCAGATACAGAATTGTGTAATTAATTTTTAAGCATTCTGACTTCCACTGATTTATGTCGCAGTTAAAACTTATTTTTACATAGATTTTAAGGACCTCATAAACTGAAGTAGCAACTTGTTCATCATTCCATGTTCATATGTTTGCAGCTTTTATAGGATGTTCAGTTATGTAGATTGCACTGAGATGAATGTGTTGGAAACAGTATTTGACATCTGAGGGCTTGGCTGAGTTGCCCATTGGCCTTTATTTTCCTAGTGAGATAGTCTATTGTTCATCATACAGGGGCTATCAGATTGCACAGAAGTTATAAGAACACCAATCTTCAAAACATAGTTGTCTGCAGCAAGAGAAAGAAAACTCTTAAAACAAAGCCTCATATAGGTTAATGGATGTGGATCAACTGGGAGAGATGAGCTAGGTAAGTCCTCCCTGTTGGGGTGTGAAGTCACTAGGTGGGACTGTCAGAGTTTGGCTTGGAAGTTTCTGTGTCAGTGTGGCTTACAAGTCTGGAGAGAGGCTGGCCATCACTGCAGAGCAGCAGTCAGTCAGGAAAGGTCTGTTAGGAAAGGCAGCTGTGCTAGGAAGAATGTGAGGTGAAGGCCTGAAGCTGTACCCATGTTCATGGAGAGGAATGCGCCGCAGATCAGCCTCAGCAGCTCGATTTGCATCCATGATTATATTTAGAAATGGGAAAGTGCAAACAACTTTAGGCTTTTAAATTTAGTTGTTTCAGGGAGGATTCTCTTTTCAGAGTGCTAAAAAAAATCATAAAATACATAATTATGGTTTCTTGAAGTATCTTTTTCAAAGCAATTTCATCTAGGCAGTTTAAAAAATAGTGAGTAGAAACCAGAGTGACATACTTGCCTCCCCAAAAAAGCACTATCTTCCTGCCTGGCACTTTGGTGACTCTGAACCTGCTAGGGTGGAATCCCCTCCCAGAACACTAATACCTGTCTAGGCTACAGAGCGACCCTTCTGTCACATCCCTTGCCCTGCTGGCCGGGCATCTGAGGGTGGAACCAGCCTCGTCCATTTGGAGTATATTGGCATAAGACTTTTCCCCCTTCAAATAGTCAATTTTTAGAATCACATTTATTTCTTACAGCTTTCTCATTCTGTGCTCTTTGTCTGTG